GCCTCGCCATGGTCGGGTGAGGCCCGACCTCGCCGGATCTGGCGAGGTCGAGCCTCGCCCGGCCGCCGGCGAGGTCGGGCCTCGCCCGACCATGGCGAGGCTCGAGCCCTCGCCGGAGGCCGCGGCGAGGGCGAGCCTCGCCATGGTCGGGCGAGGCCCGACCTCTCCGGATCTGGCGAGGTCGAGCCTCGCCCGGCCGCCGGCGAGGTCGGGCCTCGCCCGACCATGGCGAGGCTCGCCGCCGCGGCCCTCGAGCGAGGGCTCGAGTCGGGCGAGGTCGAGCCTCGCCATGGTCGGGCGAGGTCGAGCCTCGCCTAGCCGCCGGCCGGGCGAGGCTCGACCTCGCCGGCCCGGCGAGGCCCGGGCCTTGCCCGACCATGGCAAGGCTCGCCCTCGCCGCGGCCTCCGGCGAGGGCTCGAGCCTCGCCCGACCAAGGCGAGGCCGCCCTCCCCAGTGGCCGGCAAGGTCGAGCTCGCTGGCCTCTGGCCGGTCGTCGGACCGGCCACCGGCCAGAGGAAGGAGAAACCCAAAAAAAAAAGTGGAAAAAAAAGGAAAAAAATAAAAATTTAAAAAAAATTAAAATATTATTTAATTTGTCCACGTCGGCGCCGATGACCGGCTGCCAGCCGACAGGCGTCCACGTCGGCAAATTCTGGTCAAAATTGGCCGGAAGGACTAAATTGGCAAAAAAACAAAAGGTTTAGGACAGAATTTGCACCAATTTAAAAGGTTTAGAACTGAATTGGCACCAAAAAAAGGTTTAGGACTAAATTGGCACTAATGCAAAAGGTTTAGGACTGAATTGGCACCAAAAAAAGGTTTAAGACTAAATTGGCACTAATACAAAAGGTTTAGGACTTTTTTGGCACTTTTCCCCGTTATTAGAGGTGAGCAAAAGGAACTACCGGATCGGACCGAACTGGCCGATTCTAGATGGATTTTGGAGGCACTAGTCTGGCTTTTGATTCGAAAAAATTGGAACCGGTAATTTTCAGTTGGGATGCATGAGTGACAACGAGACTGCCGGTGGAGTGCGCAGGGATGCTAGAAAGGCTGTTGCTCGCTCAACTGCAAGAGTGCATGTTTGAGAACACCATTGGCCCACTTGGGAATTGGACTGAACCAATCCAATCCAGTTCCAAGATAATGTGGGCGGTTTTATAAACTGAGAACTAACCCATCCAAGAACCGATCACTCCTACTCATTATTGAAAATATTAATCGAAGGATCGTCAAAATTCCATCAATTGCCGAAGAAGCAAAGGTCAATGCATTAGGTCCGTTAAAATATTTGAATATTAAATGACTTATTCATCTAACGTTTAGGCTTGGTAGTGGCTTTATAAAATTTTTACATAATATCAAAGCAGGAGATGCGAATTTAAATATTTTCAAATATATAAAATAAAAACATGCATTTTTTTTAATAGCTTAAATTTTCAGAACGATTGGAAAATGCCCACAAAAATAACAACGAAAGCGGTGGCAAGATTCAAATGACCTTGAAATGTAGGGCGACAATAAAGGGAGTTTTGTTCAAAGTGTAATTAGCCCTAGCGAGGACAAAGCAATCAAATTTCATTCACTAACCATGAAATGCTTATTTCAAGTAGGTCAACGAGCAATTTCAGCACTTAAAAGTTTGATTGCTGACAATATACCCACCTTGTAATATCTAACATGCCCACCTTCAATGATAACATCCTCTCATCTCTCATGCCCATCCTTTTCTCGTGTGTTGTGTAAAACTAAGCCTACTCTATATCAAGTGTACTTAAAAATACCTTCGAACAGCCCCCTATATGACCTTGTCAATTGATTATTTAATTTAAAACATAGTTCTTCGCTCTCATTTTTGTTCTTTTAGCATCCACAGTTAGGTGTATATAATCCATCCATAGCAATCAAGAAGCCATAAGTTAAATCGATCCCCTATAATACAAGTCGATGACATATTGTATACTTTGACTTATTTAGAGACCCTTGGCTTTATTTCTTGACATGTGCTCATTGTCAGGAATGCGCAGTGGAAGCCCAATACATTCACCAAAAGGAATCTTAAGTCCGACCCCATCAACATATGCAGTTGAACCATGCGAGGAGTTTATAAACCGAACCATAAATATTGTCATCGGAACCACGTTGCTGCATCACAACGCCCACCTATACTTTAGATTTCTTTCGTCAAGCCAAACTATGAAGGCTGCCTGGAAATTGCGTTAGCCACGAGATTCCTTAGGAGATTGCCAAGAGGGAGCTTATGTCAAAGCTCGTCAACATATTCAATTGGACCTATCTTTTCTCAAAAACTTAAACCAATAGATTATAGACCAATTAGGATATATTACAATTCCACATCACACCAACTCTTTGATATGAAGCTTTCTAACATAATTTACATGTGCATCTCAACACTGTTACTTTATCTCAATCCATGTGTCCAATTCTTTTTATTCTATCTTTTTCAATGTTGAAAATGAGTGGTTGACAGTGGCGCTCCGTTAAGCATTGATGTTTGCTCCAGTGGCTAGCCTTCCTACTTGGAAAGAGGGAGGTAGGGAGTTTGATTCTCCACCTTCTCAAGAGGGTTAGAGTTAGGGACGTGTAGTTTCAAAGGTGGGTTTTAACTCCCATGCCCTACAAAAGGCAGGATAAAAGTCTGAGAGTGAGTTGAGAGTTAGAGTAAAACAGATAAAAAAAAACAATAGTGGCGCTATGTTGGTTTGAGTCATAAATATTGTTCATTTTAGCGAGTCCTTTAATGTCACATCACCTAATGCTAAGTTGCATTTAATGCCTAAATAGTCCTATTTAAAATCATATGAACATTTCTTTGGTTTGGCTTTTCACATCTGTTACCGCTCTGAAACGAGATGCCTTTGGCTTTTCGAGACATTTTGTAAAAATTTGACGACTGTAACACCCTTGCAACTGGACAAAACACTACAACTACGTTATAGGTCTTTTAGCCATTTTTATAACCACAATGATCTTGCAGCAGTTTTTTACCAAACACATTAATCATTTATAGCCACGTCGTAACAACATGTGTCGCTGAATGCACGTATTTCGGGACAACACAACACAGCATAGTCGCAACATAACATAGACTCAAATTGTCGTCTTGTTGGGGAAAATCGGCCTGTGGGCACGGCAGATGAGATGCCGACGAAAATCGACGTGCGCCAAGGCGATCCGGTTTCAAACGATTGGAGAGTAATCGCGATCGCTCCACAGTTCCCTGTTCGAGCACAAAGCGCGCAAGTGGAGTTAGAACGCAGCACGAATTCTACTAAACTTAGTGCAATGAAATTGAAATTACATAGGGACTAAAATTGCTTGAAAGTTAGAAGGAATTGGATGAAACGAGAATACAAGAAAAAGTAAAAGGATGAACTCTCGGCGGAGCGTTTGGAATTTGTTCGTGTGTCCTTGTCTGCTACCTCCGAACCCTCCTTAATATTTATAGTGTCTCTTTTCTTTGTTGGGAGACAGACCACGACGTGGCCAAGTTCTTCCAAACAAGTCAAATTAACTTCCGAGTTCATGCCACGTATTCATTTTCGTATTTGGCTACATTAAAACTCCGTCTACTCCGCGAAAATTGAATACTTTAAAAAAATATTTTCGTAAAAAGATCTCTTATAGAAATGAATGAAAAAATATCTTCACTGTTCTAAAAAATATTTAGGCATAAATTATTATCGATAATAAAAATATTTTTCATTGTCTAATTATTTTAAACGATACAAATGATTATTTTTTTGAAAATATTTTTTAAATCGTTGATATTTCGTGAAACAGATAGAAAAAAGCTCTTAAAACAACTTCAGTAAAAATAGGTACCAAAATAAAATGTGTACAAGCGGTAAAAATAACGACCATAGTTCTTTCCTTTTGCTACCCGAAGTGAGAAAATATGTGAAATTACTCTAAAATATGCCCACAATTATTTTCATCCGTAAAAGGGGATATATGCTATATTCTTGGTAGACATTTTGCTATATTAAGGCCCCGTTTGTTTCGCGAAAAGCGAAAAATATTTTCTCATTTTTTGGTGTTCGGATTGCTTAGGAAAATCAGTCAAAGGAAAATAATTTCATAATCAACGGAAAATCTATGCTAAAATTCAGGAAAATGGTTTTCTCTTTAAAAAATCAAAAATCATTTCCAAAATATAATTAAAATCGGCGTTTAAACCAAAAACTTTATGTTTGGCCACAAGAACTCCAACGCTTGTTCCTGGGCCTTTGACAGTTGCCCTGAGCCGGGGCAAGGTCCTCCGGGTCCATTGAGGCCAAGCCTCGATCCACAGAGGTTGGGCTTGGGACACCGGTGCCTATGGCCGAGCCTAGGACTCCGGTATTGTTGCCCGACTCCTTGGCACCCTGGCCCAGATCCACAAAGGCGGGCTTGAGATGCCGATGCTTGTGCCCGAATCTCTAACACCCAAGCCCTGGTCCATTGATGCCGGGCTCAGGTCCATAGAGCTTGGGCCCGAGACCCTGCACTCGGAGTCGGGTCCATCAAGGCCTGGACTGTGACACCTGCGCCAATGCTTGAGTCCCTGGCGCTAGGCCTATGTCCATCGAGGTCGGGCTCGGGACCTCGGTGCCTCAGGTCGAGTCTATCGAGGCTAGGTGTAGGTCCCGATGCCCATGTTTATTAAGGCTAGGCACGGGATGGTGTCCCTTCCCCGATCCCTAGCACTCATGCTCTGGTTCCCGGCGCTTACGCACGGGTCCCGAGTCCATTGAGGTTGGGTTTGGGACGCTGGCGCCTGCCTAGGTCAATTAATGGCAAGCTCGAAACCTGGTGCCCGCGCCTATGTCCATCGAGGCAGGGCCTAGAAAAAGAAACAAATTTGGCATGAGAAAAAAAAAAAAAAGGTGGTCAAAGGTTCAAAATAACACAAGCTGGTCGAGGCTCACGCTTGCGCACTATTGACATAAAATATTCATGCAGATCTAATGTCGTGACAGATTGGCGGTTTTTCCGTTGCTTCTCTGTTCTCTCTCTCCATTTCTTTTTTTATTTCGTTGACGTTGGTTCGCTCTCTCTGCATCGATCGGCCGCCTTTCCTCTTCGATCGACCCGTTTCCGATCCTCCGGATCTGACATTCTCGTCGTTCGTTCCGTTCCGATCTCACCTCACGCTCGTCTCCAATCGACGGCGGCGGCGATCCGTAGTGCCGATTTGGTCCCCGCATTGCGCTCGGTGATCCTCGGAGATGGCGACGATGGAGAGCCTGATCGGCCTCGTGAACAAAATCCAGAGGGCGTGCACCGTCTTGGGGGACCACGGCGGCGAGGGGATGTCCCTCTGGGAGGCGCTCCCGTCCGTCGCGGTGGTCGGCGGCCAGGTAACGGCGATCCCGCGTCTTCTAGTCGCGTTCCCGCTCGTTGATCTCCGCTGTGGATGCTTCGGTGAATCGGATGCTGAGCCTTTTTTTTGTTTGTTGGGATTTTTAGAGTTCCGGAAAATCTTCGGTGCTTGAGAGCGTGGTGGGGAGGGATTTCCTGCCTCGTGGATCTGGTGAGTTTGACTTATGTTAGCAATGCTAGAGTGCTAGTTCCTTTTAGTGTTTGTCGTGGTGATCTCTTGAATGTGCTGCTTTTTGCGCTTTCGTTTTCCCCGAACGTGGTGTTGCAGCTTCGGGCGAGTACGTATTGTGAGCCGGGTGTTCTGTTTCTGAAACCGGGTTTGTCGCTTTCAGGTATAGTCACACGGAGGCCGTTGGTATTGCAGCTTCACAAGACAGATCGAGGGCAATCAGAATACGCGGAGTTTCTTCATGCCCCTAAGAGGAAGCTTACTGATTTTGGTATGTACGTTTGACAAGACCTGCATTCTTGTACTCGGTCGATGTTGTGCAGCAAGAAAATGTATTCCCAATCCCCCACTTCCTAAAGCTAGCACTTTTAATGTTTCAGAGTTCGATCATTATAAATAGAACTTTGGTGGGTAAGCCACAAGTTTCGTCACCCGTTAAAAAATAGCACGAGTTTAGTCGAACTGCTAGATTAATCTTCCATCACCCTATGTTGACCACTGAGTTGCTTTACAATACCAAAGAATTTTCGAGACAGTGCAGTAGTGGAAGGAGCTGAAGAAGTGGATTAGTGGCACTTAAATGGTGTATGTATATCTGATAAAAAAAAAACGGTGTGTATATGAACTCAAAGGTAACATATCGTGTCTGACTTTTCCCTCTTTCTGACTGTATTGATCCAAGAGGAGTTGTTACAAGTATATTTAACTGTATGGCATACAAAAAAAGCAAACATCGAACTGGTCACCAGCAAAAGATAAAGGTGAATCTATATATATAGATGATGATGATGATGATGATAAAAATAATGATAATATTTATGGTTGGAAAGAAGGGTGCAACTGGAGGAATATGTAGTAGTCTCATGTCACAGGTTTTGCGAGAGAGGTTTGTTGGATGTAATTGCATATTTTTGGAAGCTATAGCAATCAGACAGCAGCAAATGTACCAAGAGTTGTTTGAGGAGTGAAGGGCCTAAATTTTTATCGAGATCCATGCTTTCCTAAGATTTTAGGTGAGTTGAGGATTCTCGTGAAATGGTCAAAACCACCTTCTTGGATCATGGGCTAGATATTAAGATACATGGACAGAAGCTATGTTAAACAAGGGAAAAAAATTGACAAAATACTTCTTCTGATGAGATTATTAGTGGGAAAAATTCGAGAAGGAATATGAGAGAGAAGAAAAAGGAGTTTCGTGCAATATCATTAACATAGTCAGAATCCTTAAAAGTGGCCCAATCTGAGTTAGCTAATGGTGCTAAGGAATAAACATTGCTACAGTGGCTTGAAAATCTTTTACATTATGATCCTGCCTGAACAAGAAGAGGAAAAAGCGGGGCTAATGGTGATCCATGTGATGAAGGACCGGAAGAAAGAAGGCCAGTAGAAGTTTTGTGCTAGCTGTTACCGGAAATCATCTTTGCTAACACCTTACGACTCAAATTCCAGTAAAATAAACCTGCTTCTGTTCTATTTAGGTGGTGGGAGTACTAGTAGCTCTGTGTTTCTCGACATGGTGAAACCAACTAACTAAAATGTAGCTTGAAACCTAGAACTTTCTCAAGCGTCACAGTAGTTAATGATCGACCTTTACTATAGAAATCTTACATTACTTTTGTAGATGACATTAAGAGTCATGTTTTACCTGCTTTGTTGCACCAAGTACTGCCAGCGGAATTGTATGCAATTGCATTTTGAATGTTATGCACTTTCTGAATTAGATGTCAGACCTATTTATTGGTTTTATCATGCGATTATCACGCACCTGGACATTTCTGAAGATGGGCTAGCCTAAAGGTTGCTTCTGAGTGCACCTTCCTAGCTGGCTGAGCTATGTCATACTGTCCGTTGTCATGTTGTATTATACTGTCATGCGAGTAGATTCTTCTGGTTTGTAGTAGAAAAATTCCTCTCTGCATACCTTTCGCTTGTAGTCTTTCTTAGAAATATAGATCACAGAAAGTCACAATAGCTTTACACATTAGCATCATTTGTTCTGAATTTTCTTCATATAAGAATTCAATATTCATTTTATATGATCGAAAAGCTGTCCGGCACAATAAGTTCTTGTCAGAATAAGTTAAGCAATTTTGCCTGGACTCTGGTGCAGTGATAATTCTTCTTTTGTGCAGCTGCTGTTCGGAAGGAAATTCAAGATGAAACAGATCGTATAACAGGGAAATCAAAGCAAATATCAAATATTCCAATTCATCTGAGTATCTATTCTCCAAACGGTATGTGCTTTCTTTCTTGAGACAACGCTAACTAAAGATTTTAATATCCTAGTAACTAGAAGAAAGATTTGATTTAATATTGGTAGCTATATATATGTACTTATGATTACATGGATTTCTAGCAAAACATCATGAAAATAAAAAAGGTTGTGCATTTGGGCATGAAGCTAGTCTGATCTTGTTTGCCTTTGTTTAGTAAGGGCATCACACATGTCTCTCTCTGTCTTGCTCTCATACAAGTAAGTTAGCCTGAGTGGGTTTGTATGTCTTTCTGTTATCTATATGGTTACACTCTTTTGATGAATTTTCCACCTAAGTTTTTCTGTAGATGTGGAGCTATATTATCAGGGGCAGATTATGTACTTTGTAGTATGATTTGTTCTTCTTAATATGTGAGTCTTGATACATGATTAAGGCTTTGATTTTGAGTCATTTAATAACTTTCACTTCATACAGAATTGAGTGCAGTGGCGCAAAAAGATTAATATAGCTGACGGTGGGATAAAGGCTTACTTTTGTCATCATTAATGTTCAAGACATGAATGGTGCTTTCATCTATGCTGCTAGTTTTTTCAAATTAATTAAGATATATGTTGACTACCAGACTAGAATGTCATCTTGGTCCAATTTTTCTTAACCTGGCCATTTCTGTCAATTGACAAAAGGTAGAACGTTTTAATGCTGATTAGGGTTTGGATAGACGTATGAAAAGCCCTTGTCATATTTAAATGTTGGTATAAAATATGAATGGACCAATACTAGTGAGAATTGTGTGCAGCCAAAAGAAAAGCCATTGCCTGAACCAGCTAACTAGTGCTCATTGGTTAGACTGCAACAGTTGCAATCAGAGCTATCACTGTGTCCAGAGTCCAAATTTTTAAATGATTTGTGAGGGCTGAAAAATAAATTGTGTGAAAAAAGGCATGGTAGAAACTTGGCTTATTAGTTGCCAGCAGCTAATATCTTGTGATTGAATGCTTAATTCTTTAAAAAGGAATGCATTTTGTTTCAAGTTACAATTTTTGGGTATGTTGATGTTTTGAGCTATGAGAAGTTAAACTTTATCCTTTATTCCCTTACCCGAAAAAAAACTTTATCCTTTATTCAAGAAAAAGTTTTCTTCGATAGATGTTCAATTTATTGGAAATTATCAAATTAGTTTTCTTCTGACATTAGATGAGATCTCTCAATTATTTCTGAGCTCTTTTCCTTACCTATTGAAAATGTTGATGAACATTGTTTTGCATGGCAGTTGTAAACTTGACACTTATAGATCTTCCTGGGTTGACAAAGGTTGCTGTAGGTAATCTTTTGAGAGGACATATTTCTTGCTGGGCTTTTTGTCTCTTTGTTTGTGTCTGTATCAATGATTTGCTTTTCTGAGGTATGCAGAAGGACAGCCCGAAACTATTGTCGAAGACATTGAAAACATGGTGCGTTCCTATGTTGAAAAGGTGAGGGAAATTATTTACTAATTTAAATTGACTTACATCTTGTCAAAGAATAGTTCTTAATGGGTGCAAACAAATGGGTGCAAACTGAACTTAATGAAGTTCTGCATGGGAAAAAGGAAGTTGACTTTTGACAATTGCACCAATTTTTACAAAGTGAGACGGCTAGATGGTGACATTTTAATCCTCCAAACTGATCTAGAAGCTATTATTCATCCTTTTCTTTATGAGGTTATGTCTTGCGTTGAGTCATTAGTTTGATCTAGAGTCTAGTCTTGATTTTCATTATAAGAAAAACATTACTTTATAGATCATCGCATCAAATATTAGTTACTATTTCTCCTTTACATTTGGAGAAAAAAGAAATTACTCTAGGCATTACTTCTCATGTGGAACCAACTTTTATTTTCCTCTGGGGATGATTAGTAAAAGAAATCTATATTAATTCTACTTCCACCTCCTCCTTTTTAATTAAGTTTATTCAAATAGATACTGTTTTTAGATTTGGATACCTACATTGTTACACAACTGAAAGATAATTACTATTATCCAGCCCAACTGCATCATATTGGCAATATCACCTGCTAACCAAGATATTGCTACTTCGGATGCCATCAAACTCGCAAGAGAAGTTGATCCTTCAGGTTAACAGTTATAATGCTGAAATTTCAAATTTGTTTGGTAGTGAATATACTGACTGTTTTACCATCTTGGGTCTATTTAGGGGATAGAACATTTGGAGTACTGACGAAACTTGACCTGATGGACAAAGGAACTAATGCTCTTGAGGTAATGGCAGTTTTTCACTTACTGTGTTTCCTCAGGTTCTTTGTTGATATAATGGATGAGCTATGCATGAACATTGAAGGTTCTCGAAGGAAGGTCGTACAGATTACAGCATCCTTGGGTTGGAATAGTAAACCGTTCACAAGCTGAAATTAACAGGAACGTTGACATGATTGCTGCACGTAGAAAAGAGCGTGAATATTTTGAAACAAGCCCCGAGTATGGACACTTGGCAAGCAAAATGGGTTCAGAGTATCTTGCCAAGCTCTTATCTCAGGTTTATTTGTTCTTCTGTTTTAAAAGTTAGCTAAGACTTTACCTCATCCTTTCTACCTGTCCAAGTTTTGCATATTTCATCAATACAAGAAACTTATTAGAAAATTTATTTGTCAGCATTTGGAGACTGTTATCCGACAGCGGATTCCAAGTATTATTGCCTTGATAAACAAGACAATAGATGAACTTAATGCAGAGTTGGACCGTATTGGCAGACCCATTGCAGTGGATTCAGGGGTAGCAGTCTGCTTACTCTATTCATACTCGATCAATTTTCTTCCCTGACAAATGTATCTGAAGTATGTTCTTTCTGTGTATAGGCCCAGCTTTACACTATTCTGGAACTTTGCCGTGCATTTGATCGTGTATTTAAGGAGCACCTGGATGGAGGGTAATTTCTTCATATATATTCTTTGGGAATTGGTGCAGTTTTAATCTCTGGATCCTTTATTGATTCTTTATCTTCATTTAAACTGATCATTGTTGTATGAGCCCTGTTAACTAATCCACACAAAGTTCTGGTTATGATGGCTGATGAATAAGATCCTCAATCCATGCTTCTACAACAGTACACATTGCAGAAATAAATAGCTAGGTTACAGCACTTAGCTCTCTTTAGGTCTTCACCTGGTAATGGATTGAAATATGAAAGCTTTGAAGAAGAAAACACACTTTCATATTTAAGAACGATGCAACATTGCTTGAGAAACAGATAATGGAATGTTGGCACTTAGTTGTGGTCAAAATTAGTTATTTCTTCTAGGAGTTTGAACATAGGGGATGGGTTGTATAAGAGAAGTAGTAAAACTAAGAAGCAATATTATTTCTTCTTTAGGTATATTGCATTCAAACGAAGTCAATAGGGAATCGACTGGATTAGTTGAGTTCCATTCTTGGATTTGGAGTCGGTATTTGCTCTTCTGATTCAATTGTTCACGGATTTAATAAAAAAATTTCAGTAATATTGACATTGATGGATACTGGTGACAGTAGTGTGGTTGGTTCGTTCTCAAAGAATAGGGGCCATCAGCTTAGCTATTGGGCTTATTGGCTTATCTTTTTCAGAGGAATGCCTTCATTACGAAATATGGTTGTCTAATATTGTGCAAATTTGTTAACGAGAGGACTTACAATGATTGATATATCTTTATTGTTGTTGCTGATGCAATTGCTGCAAAAGATAGTATGCTATCAACTGAAAGTTTAAAATGACAACAATTTTTATACGTATTTAAATTGGTTTGCGGTCAGAGAGAAGGCATGCGTAGTAACACTGTCTAAATTGTCGATAGAAGTACAGATAGATAAGATATGACGAGTAACCAAAACATTTAGTGTCTCAATATGTCACCGTGGATCTACAGTTTGACTTTTAGATGGATTTCTAGTGGGTCCACGACCACCATGGGTTTAATATGTATCAGAGTAAGAGGCTCCATGGTTGAATCTGTATGACTCTTGTTCCACAGTTTTGGCTTGATCCAATATGCTAGTCATACATAAGGGGGAGTGCTTTAAATGAATAAGCTTTTAGATGTTCTTGCAATTTTGAAATTGTGTTTAGGTTCATTAAGACTTTTGCCAAAAACTCATTGAATACTCCGGATGGAGAAGTTTTTCTCTGGTGAGAATATGATGTTGTATGATTTAGAGGCAACTAAATCTACGATCTTGCCCTGTGGGAGCCAAAGATAGCTGACTGACAAGTTGCTGTCCAGGCGACCTGGTGGTGATCGGATATATGGGGTTTTCGACCATCAATTACCAGCTGCTTTAAAGAAGCTCCCTTTTGATCGCCATCTTTCTTTGAAGAATGTGCAAAAAGTTGTATCTGAGGCTGATGGTTATCAGCCCCACTTGATTGCTCCAGAACAAGGGTACCGAAGACTCATTGATGGATCCATTAACTACTTCAAAGGCCCAGCTGAAGCCTCAGTAGATGCTGTAATTCCTTCATTTTACTAATGCTCTAGCGGGTGGAAAATGCTGTCTTGTTTGTTACGAGAAATGAGTTCTCTTAGGTTGCAGCTTCTTATTGCTTAGCCAGAATATATGTGGTAGTTTTGAAAGACCAACTTTTGGTACATGCACAGCAGACATGGTTGAAGACCTTTTTGTTTTATGTCCCCCGGATCTTCCTGTTCAACATGTAAATGGATTTGTAGCGGTAACATTTAAACAATCATGCGATATTTGACACATGCTTGCATGTGCGGCCACACACACACACAAATGCCTCTGCACGCACATACTCATAATAGATGGTAAGACTGAACTTCAACAATAGTGAATTTGTTTACATCCTTGCTATCATATAATCATAAGTCAGAGCTTTCTTGAAGATAAGAATTGTAAGAGGATGATCTTGTAGCTTTTACATAGTTATGCTGGTCATAACTGTTACATTTTCTTTCTCACGTGGACCTGATGACTGTTCTTTTGTTTCCAACTGGTATGGCGCAAGATTCTCTATTAGTTTCTTGAATGAACAAACTATCTTTCTCCTCCTCAGGTGCACTTGGTTTTGAAAGAACTTGTACGCAAATCGATTGCTGCGACAGAGGTAAACAACTTATGTTTTGGAAAACACAAACTGTTATCATGGTTGCGGCAATATCAATATCTTGAAATTTGCTGGTGGTTATACTTTTTACCAGTCCAACTAAGGCAGACACAACTGAAATAATCAACTCATTTCGATTGTGGTTAGAGTAAGAGATAATTGAGCTGAAAAAATCAAAATAAACTTATTCTTGAAATTGTTGAACCGTGTCAACTTTGGAAGGCTTTACTTTCTCTCCCAGCAAAGGACCGATTGAAGATGTCCAATATTTGCATGACATAGAATATTCTGTTCAGGTGTCTCTCAGGACATGTTTTAAATTATCTGGCATTCCTTACTGCTTTTCGTATACGCATGTTGTAATGGTAATTATAGTTGCAATGGTGCGGTCTTGCTTTGTCAGACTTCACGACATGCAATGGCAATTCACACGTCAAAAACTAGAACTGTATAATTCAAAAAATCCTATGTTTCAGCAAACTAAATTTCTGGCAAGTCAAATATGCTCCTGCCATTATAGAGTGCAGATTTATATTTGAGAATGAAATCCCTTTGAATGGCTGTGAGCTTTTGAGACCGAATATTACGCAGGTACAAAAATTAAGTGCAGCGACATAAGAAATATAAGTAACTATGAGTAATCGTAAGCACCTGTTGTTCTCCATTGGTGGAACTACCATTGACTTTCATATTGTAGTTATTATCTTGTTCATCAAATTAGAGATGCTGGTAGATAGCATCCTTTGCTTGTTTGATGAAACTCTCAATAAAGAGATGATCACTGATTTTTTTGACCGGAACTTGCGTGTGCATTGGTAATTCTAGGAGTTGAAGCGGTTTCCATCACTTCAAGCAGACATTGCTAATGCTGCAAACGAAGCACTGGAAAGATTCCGTGAAGAAAGCCGTAGAACAGTTATCCGTCTTGTCGACATGGAATCTAGCTACCTAACAGTGGAATTTTTCCGGAAGCTTCATCTTGAACCGGAAAAGAGTCCAAATTCCAACCCCAATGTCCCTAATGTGGATCGCTACTCAGATAATCATTTTAGGAGGATAGGTATGTGGTCTTATAGTATCGTCATAGAAGAGTGAAATTACAGTGTATCTACGCATGGAAGATTTAGCAAACACACTCTATTCTTGCTTCAGAGTTATGTCAGAGTTTGCCTTTTAGCCTTTCAAGTTCTCTATTAATGGATAGATGCTCTATGGTTTCCCCTTATGTAATGCTAGAATCACATCAGTTATAATCCCATACTCAGATTAAAGTTGTAAGTTTTAACTGGAAAATAAATGGAGTCACTATTGATTGAGAAGTATTCATGCTGTTTGCTGTTCAGGGTCCAATGTAAGTGCTTATATTGGTATGGTTTGTGATACCTTAAAAAATACAATTCCCAAGGCTGTTGTCTATTGTCAAGTACGAGAGGCTAAGAGAGCACTGCTGAACAACTTCTATGCTCAAGTTGGGAGGAGGGAGGTAATTTTCAGGACTCTACTGTTACTTTACTGATTCTCATTCTGGTTACTGCACTTCTTATTTGTCAAATGAAAACAAACATCAAGTCGGCAAATTCTCCCGAGCATGAACCTAAAGCAAAATTAAATTAAAAGTGGTGAAGCATTAGTCCATTGAAACTTTTTAACTTGATTGTCATGATTATAACGTATGTCTCTCCGTGTGGACATTCACAGCTGCTCCCAAAAGATGTTTGATTCTATTACTTGGGATATTATTTTTAAGGTTGGATGACCTCTTTATCCAGTGCAGATTCAAGAGCATGAGTTTTAACTTGCTTAAATGGTAGAAACTCATCTCAATTTAGTAATGTTTGATGTTCATGATATGATAAGTTATAAATCCTAAAAGTCGAGGAAACTGGTCACTATCATTCCTACATGCAAACTTGGCAGAGTTTTTTTTTATCACTTTAGGGCCCATTTGGTTAGTAAGAATGACTAATGAGACATTTGACTGATGTGAAGTAAAGAATCTACCTGGGAAGTAATGTCCAGATCACCACGCCGACCACGGTTGGTAACACCTTGGAATAAGAATATTACCTTTCTTTGGTTACTATTTATGGATGCCGACAACTATAATATAAACAACTTTTAGAACTTTATTTCCTTACTAGATATTTCTCCTTACAAAAGTTACCAAAGCCAAGCCGCCATTGTAAACTCGCCTTTTCAGTTGGGTCCTCTTACTCTTGTTCATTTCTCTTAATTCCAAGTTAGGAGATGACCTTAGGAAAGCGAATGATTGCTCTTAGAGCTTTTCTCTTACCATTACATATTTGGTGGAGTATAATTACAACAGAAGAACAGGTGCACAAGTTTTATATACGAAGATTGATGGGTAGCAAAAGGACAGGTTGAGTAGCAAAAGGACAGGTTGAGTCATCCAAAAGATGTATGGCCAATGTAGAAAAGAGACTAAGCATGCAGAGTACATGGAGTTAAATTCAAGCTGAACAAGGGATAATTGTTGGCAAATGAGAAAATTATCTGGAATTCAATAACTTATGTAATAGGATAAATAATGTTTGACAAGAGACTTGAAATGATTTTATTGATAGGTTTATCAAAATTGATGTGGTGGATCGAATATAGCAGTAACAATGGTGACTTGTTGCCTGATTTCGGGTGGAATCTCAGTACTCTTTGTAGAGTGATGACGAGAGATGTAGAGAAGACAGAGCACCAGCTTCTGCAATTTATTTAGGAGTCAAGTTCTTTCTTATGACCGATCTTTCATTCATATGTCATGAAGCAACCTTTGTTTTCGACTCATTCTTTAAATGTCTGTAATCCATGATGTCTTGCACTTAGACATACAAATAGATAAGTCGTAAGCACAAGGCTTGACTGTTGTGTAGTTGCTTAGTCATACATTCGGTCAATGACCCTACTATATGACCAATTAAAGCTAATCATATCATGATTCGTAAAGCCATTACACCAGATGACAAATGAAATATGGTAAAGATATGTCTGGTCTCTTTATAGGAACTTAACTTTTAATTTGATGGAAAATCTAGTTTTTCCTTATGTGCAGCAATGCTGGATCTATCGAGTTAGTAGTGCTGTATAACTACATTAAGTGACAGCATAACCCTCGACGAAAAGAAATGGCAGTATAAACTTTGTTAGAAGTTGCTTTGATTATTCTTGTTATTCTTTCTACCATTTCAAAATGAGGTTTTATTTGTTCATGAACTACATTAGCACTGATTTGGCAAATATACAGAGGGAACAACTAGGCGCAATGTTAGATGAGGACCCAGCTCTCATGGAGAAGAGAACAGCCATCGCAAAAAGGCTAGAATTGTACAAATCAGCTAGGGATGAGATTGATGCAGTGGCGTGGAAGTGAGGGAAGCATCGCATTGCGATATTGTCCAGCTTTTGATAATCATTTTTCCCATTCGAATCAGCAGCTGATGCGTGGATCTGCAACAATTCATTGATATTCTTTATCTATTGATATCGAGAAAAGCGCGTTACATGAGTTCTCTTATTTCCTTTCTGAACGCGTCATCGGTTTAGTTTTGCTTCCTATTGTGTAATATAGTTCCTGCCGATTTGTGATATACACACTGTCCATCAATTTCACGATGAGTTTGCTTTTAAAGGGAAAATGCATTTTCTTGAGATATGGTGGTGATTAATACCTTAGCTGTATTGTATCCATATTGATGAAGTTTTTCAAACTTTTGGTATTGAATTTATACAGTGCACCTAAGAGAAAAGTGTTACCTTTTCATATTTTATGATAGGAATCATATTGATGAAACTTTTTGACAAAGAGCTGATAGCCTTTAAGTTGGGACATCATGTCTGTAATAGCTGTAGCATTGCAGAATGGTTTAGCAAATGGCTTGTTATCATGTTTGAGGATTTTGCTAGCCTTTGCAGTTTTGGCATCATGTAATTCATTCCAAGGAGATCTACAATGAATTACATGATACAAAGGCTTTGTTACAGACGTAAGCAGTGATACGATGATTATGATCAGGAAGAGGAACTTTAGTTTTATCACTTAGATGCACGTCGTCCAAATTTAACACAAATAGAGAGCGATAGAGGTTTGCTTAGTAAATGGTTCCTTCGAATGCGTACCTGAAAAGCTCGTTTGAACATAAACGTGGTGATTACCCCTGATATCTATCATTAGCGTTTGGATAATCCTAATTATTGCTTGAAAGTAAGATATCCTCCATGACCGCTTGAAATGCAATACACTACAAATTCCCAAGAATCCAAAGTGCGTCATTGCCGCAAAACTAAATTCATCATCCACGGTATGCAGATGAGTATTTGAAGGAATAGGCCCGATAGATTGCTGAATGAGAGATTGAGACGACTTAGAAAGTCCAAACTGGATATGCTAGCTAGGGACTCTTCCAGAAATCTTGTTGTGTGATAGGTCAAGTGATTCTAAATTTTGGGGGTTGCAATGTTTGAAGGGATTTTCCCTCTCAAATCGTTTGGAGAGAGGTTCAAATTCTGAAGTTCGTTGAGCCAAGTCAATTCTCCTGGTATTCCTCCATTTAAGTTGTTTGCGGAAAGGTCAATGGAATTGAAAAATTGGAGTGTCTTGCTAAATGTTTGGCTGGTCCCTTTGCATGAACCATGATGTAAATCGATGCCATAAGTGGCCAATAGGACCGCTAATTGATATCTCCAACCATACAAGAATCTATCAAAACATAGCGGAATGGTTCCAGAGAATGCCGTTCTGTGCTAGGCTTAAGAACTGGAAATGATTAAGTTGGCTGAGTTGCGTGGGAATGCCTCCGGTGAAACTATTCTTCTGGAGATCGAACTTGCTTAGAATGTTGTCCAAATGAGGTATTTTACCGGTGAAGTTAGTATCATTTAGATCAACGAGCAGCAGCTCATTTTGGTTCGACACACATTTGGGAAGCTCTTCATCGAAGGCATTTTTACGCAGGATCAGAACTTTTAATTGCTGAAAATGGGCAGAAAGAGTTTAACTTGTCTCCCAGCAAAATCCATTCGAGTGCTCGCAACTTTTTCAGACACAAGGGTAGTCTCCCAGATAGTTGGTTATTTCACATATAAATGGACAGTTAGCTTTGTGAATGAGTTGCTTTTAATGAGCACTACAAACAAGATGTCTCTCAACTTACAATGTGAGAGCTTAGCATGTGAAGAACTGCGGTGAGAGTGGAATGTGCTTTTGCCTTCCAAGTCCTTTGAACATAAAAAGATTAGTAGGACTGAAAATAGAGATGCTGCATTTTCCTCTTAATGATAGAATTAGGTAAAGATTACCCAATAATACTGAAGTATGCAACAATAAGACACATGTAAGTTAAGATTAATGTTGGATAATCTTGGAAAAGAAAAAAGGTGGATATAACGTATCACTTACATCAAAGAGGTATTCATTATGCGAATGAAATTAAATAATGTGTATAAGCATTTAAGTGGGATGTTGTATAAGCGAGTTTTTGCCTAGACTTGGTCTATCATGGAACGAGCAATCTGACGTGTTCGACTTGCGGCCTTCCCAATTTTGTTGTTCATGAAGTGGTGACATGGGTCGGCAAATCTGGACATTTGAGCGGTGACTAGCTGGGCGACTCTTCAATATTGTTCTGTAAAAGCCAACAGAAGGAATTGCTGGTGTAACTATCTTGTTCCTAAATTCGATTTTGAATGGGATAATGATACAAATAATCCCTAAACTTTGACCTAATGTATAATATGATCCATGAACTTTTAATTTGTTCAATGTAGTTCCTGAACTTTAGTCTAATGTTCAATGTAGTTTCAGGGACTAAATTGAACATGCACCAAAAGTTCAAGAACGACATTGTTCAGGGACTAAAACATGTACCAAAAGTTGAAGGACGACATTGAATGAATTAAAAGTTCAAAGAGCACATTAAATATTGGGCTAAAGTTTATGGACTATATTGAATAAATTAAAAGTTAAGGGCCCACATTGGACATTGGACCAAAGTTTATGAACTGTATGTGCCATTTTCCCATTCTGAATTGATCCTTTGAGATGAACACTTAAAGTGTGCATCTGAAAGTCATCCAGATCAGGCCACGCTTCTTGTAATCATTAAAATAGGATTAGTTGCCTCATTTTCATCAACATAGCTAAACTAGTCAGTTTCTTTTCTTTGCTGGAATTTCAAGTGAGAAGCATTGCTCTGATGGATAGTTACTAGGAATCGGCACTGTTGGGAGAAACTTCCTGGAAGGAATCGCCTTCATTTTACAGAAATGTTGGTGATTGATTGTTTGCCTTGGAACGTGCGCTCAGTCTTACATAGTTATGATTGTTGTTACGCTGTATTTGGGGGAACTCAGTCGTAACTAGAATACCTACAAAATTTCATGGTGGCATTGGCTGCAAAATGGATGTTTCTGCGCTTCTTGAGACGGCAAATTCTGTTGTCTAGCAAGCGTTTGGTATATTGATGTTCTAGGAGAATGCATTGTACAAAACCGATTGACACTCCATATAGATTGATACTGCCAAATGAAGATACAATCAAAGGGAAAAAAAAAAGAAGACCCTACAAGGGCTTTTACGTTCATCTTTTCGGAGCATTTAAGCCGAGTTGAGGTGATTTTCAATCTCTACTTCATCATGCCTCCAGGAGGAACTGGAGCCATTTGGATTCCTCTGTTCTGCCTTTCCATATTCCCATACCATCCTAAACAAAATCACAGAAAATGAAGTTTAGGAACGAAATCGTCGGACAATTTTTTCAAATAATCTCCGTAATCGGAAGAACCCCGTTTTAGATGCATCATGTACTTTAGGACTATTTATGGTGCGAAAATTGGTTGTCTTAAATTATTCTGGAAATTGACATTTCTAAGGAAACGCCATTACGTGCATCTTGATTAAAAGGAGGAGAGCCACACTTACCAATGGACATGTCGAATCCGCGCCTTTCGAGCTCACGGTACTCCTGCATTAAAGCGCAGGATTCGCAGCAAAAATGGACTAAGCAATCGGCGCAAGGAGCCTCTTGCAGCTGGTATTGCTGTCTTATCTTGGAGCGGTAGAAGCAGGAGTAGCACCAGCCGCACCCGGTCAACAAAGTGATCGCTGTGTAAATAGCTCCATTCAAGGGCATGCTGCAACAACAACGATTTGAGTAAGCAAGTCTAATGTCACTCCTTTTTTTATTTGTGCGAACGCTGTTGTATTCTACTTACAAACTGATCCGCGATCGACAATCTCCGCGATTCGCCCGAATGTGATGCATGGGCACCAAAATGACAAGCAACCTGTGAGATTAACAAGATATCAACCTACATAAGCTATAAATAACACCATTGCATCTCTGGATTCACTCAAACTCAACATATTGCCAAAGTCGTATAAGATCATTCTATCGCTAAATTCTTATGACATGTCATCATCCGCGCGATTAGGCTATTGCAGTTAGAAAGTTTGCGTGCATTAACTGTCCGACTTTTCCTCATCGATGTCGCCTAGTAGATGTACACATGGGCATAATGGTTTGATCAAGTGTTAATCCACCTCTAAAACGCATCTGAGTGTGAGGAAAATTTTCCAGAGGCCTTGCAAGTTGGAACGTCGTCGAAGCAACTGAAGAGCCCGGCGGACCAAGGCACATTGTTCACGGGTTGAGCATGGAGACCCGCATTATTCAAATAATCTGGGTTCTTGGGTTGCACCGGGACGCCATCTACCGGCTGCGGCGGCAGCGGAGTGGAGGCACCCGGCTTTGGTGGGTAACCATCAAATGCGTTTGAGGAGTCCATAATTTCGAACTGCAACTATAGATATCGATTCCAAAGATCGAAGAAGATGATCCGGTAAAAGATCAAACGAGAAAATGAATCGGGTAAGGTGAAAGAGGATTGAAACATGAGATGTTGGGTGATCTACACATGATATATATATACACACATACCCATCTCTATGTAGCTACGTTTGTATATATATGTTGCGTAAAAGAGGAGTTTTATTAATAAATGTTGTCACCAGAAGCCGCCGTGACTATGTCGTTGCTCGGCGTTTGAGTTTGTGTCTTCAATTTCTCTTAAAATAGAGTTTGGTTGCGGCAATGACAGAGAGCCAACGTTGAAAGTTGATAATTTGTTGAAAAGTGATGCTTTATTTGAGCTCTAAGCTAATGTTATTTGATTTAAATAATCACAGTCCGCACTATTAATCGCCCCCGGCCTTGCCCTACCCTAGGTCGAGGTTTGCCCTTTTGATTCGCGAGTACAAGTTACGTATGAATTTAATGCGGTGGGAAACGTTTACTATAGAATAAATTAAGAGTAGCTTAGGCATTTTGGATGTGGATTAACATGCTAAGGATCTTTCTTATGTGCAATTTTATTAATCTATCGTATGTTCTTTTGGACCGAGATCAGCTTCTAAAGTTGGACACGATTTCGCTGTTATGACTTGACCGTTGTGCTTTCACATGGATAACTCGTATTCTAGCGGGAAAATGACACAAACAGTTTCTATACTTTGGCTGAATGCGCAATGTCATTCTCAAACTTTTAATTCGTTCAATGTGGTCATTGAATTAAAATTATTCGTGAACGTCCAATCAAGTCCCTCAACTTTACATAAAAAAAAAAATCAAAAGCTTTCGTAATTATATCATTGTCTAGATTTTTAAATATCTTTCCATTTCAATCCATTTCCCAAATCAATGAAAAGCATGTTTAAATTTTATTGCTTTTTTACCTTTTTGATCTTTATGGATAGTTTCATTTAAGTATATTTTAGCTTATGATATCTGTAATAGTAAAAGTAAAACATCATTTAGAATCGTATCGGGTTGATATACCTAATAGAATATTATCATCTACTATTACATTTTCTAATTTGAGTAGGTTTTCTAAAAGGGGTTTTATGTTTTGGATAAGAATATTATGTATATAATAAATGGTTAATACCACGAAAAACTCTAAACTGATACACTTGTGACAAATTTACCCCAAACTATTTTTTTGACCACAAAAAACCCCAAACTGGTACATCTGTGACAATTTTACCCCGAACTATTTTTTTGACCATCAAAAACCCCAAACTGGTATACCTGTGACAATTTTATCCTGAACTAATTTTTTAATATTATTATTTTTATTTTTTTCGAATTTTTTCTTTTCTTTTCTTTTTTTCTTTCCTTTCCTTTTTTTTTCCCTTCATCTTTAACTTCTGGCCGGTCGCCGGACCGATGACCGGCCAGAGGTGGGGGCCGGCGAGGTCGGCCCCGCCGGCCGCTGGCGAGGGGTAGTCCTCACCATCACTGGCGAGGCTCGGCCCCGTCGACAACTGGCAAGGGTGGCCTCGCTCGCCAGGGGCGGGCGAGGCTCGACCTTGCCGTTGCTGGGCGAGGCCGACCTCACTAGCGCCGGCGAGTTCGAGCCCTCGCCAGAGCGATGGCGAGGACGACCCCTCGCCAGTTGCCGAAGAGTTCCAGCCTCGCCAGATCTGGCAAGGCTCGACCTTGCCATTGCTGGGCGAGGCCGACCTCGCCAACGCCGGCGAGTTCAAGCCCTTGCCAGAGCGACAGGGAGGACGAACCCTCGCCAGATCTAGCGAGGCTTGAATTCGCCAACAACTGGCAAGGTCGGCCTTGCCTAGAAGCGGCGAGGTTGAGCCTCGGCCGACCTCGCCAGTTGCCGGCAGGGCCGAGCCTCGCCAACGACAGCGAGGACGACCCCTCGCCAGGGGTGGGCAAGGCCGACCTTGCCAGTTGCCGGCGAGGTTGGCCTCGCCCAACAACGGCGAGGTCGGCCTCGCCAACGGCCGGCGGGGCCGACCTCACCAGCCAGAGGTTGAAGACAAAGAAGATGAAGGAAAGAAAAGAAAAAGGAAAGGAAAAAGAAAAGAAAAGAAAAGCAAAAATAAAAAATAATATTAGAAAATTAGTTGGGGGTAAAATTGTCGCAGGTATACCAGTTTGGGATTTTTGGTGGTCAAAAAAATAGTTCGGGGTAAAATTGTCACAGGTATACCAGTTTGGGGTTTTTGTGGTAAAAAAAATAGTTTTTGGGTAAATTTGTCACAAGTGTACCAGTTTAGGATTTTTCGTGATATTAACCCTATAATAAATGGTTGTCTTCCACCTCAGCTAGAGATCAGGCGATTGGGCAACTAAGTAGGATATGGCGGGGCCACGAAGTTGCTTACTCAGCAGCTTCGCATTGTGGCCAAATCGTGGACTGGGTTTTAGCTGCTGGTTTGAGTGCTTTAATCCATCAATTTTGCTGGAGTTTTTGATTAATTGGCAAGTTCATGTACAGTGCTTTAAGCCTCTCATCAGAATTTGTAATTTTCTCCACCCAATTTTGCAAGAAAGCCCCTCAAAGTTGGTCATTTTTTTGCCCAATAATGACCAATTTGATTCAATTTGGTCCTTTTGGCGTTGCTTGATCAACTCAACCTAGCCCAAGCTCAATTTCAACCTTAATTAGGAGTCAAAATGATATAAATGATGATTTAATGACTTGGACAAATTTTGTAAAATTTGCAAATTGGTCCCTCAGCTTTTGGAAATTGCATTTTGGCCCCAACTTCTTGTTTCAATTTCAATCTGATTCCCAAGGCTTGGCTAGTCGCTAGCCCCAAATTTTCTTCTTCTTTTTTAGATTTCAAGAAAAATAATCCATTTAAAAACTATACTAAATGCCTAGGTAATATATATGCAAGAATTTGACATGAAATATTTTTGTGGAAAAACAAGTTCCAATATTTTCGGAAATATGTAAACATGATTTTTGGGAAAAAATTTAGGTGTCTACATCATTCTCTTATTCACTTTCGAAATTGGCCACAAGACAGAGATTTGTTTTGTCGTTGTCACTGGATTCACATTCGGTGTTACTCCTCATTTCAGCTTTCGGTGCCCATTTCTTCTTTTTGAATTTGCACTTCTTTTTCTTGACTAGTGGGCAATCCAACTTTATGTGACCTGGTTTTCTGCATTCATTACAAATAATATCTTTACCTTTGCTTTTTTCTTTGTTCTTAAATGGCTTCTTGTCCTCTAAGAATTTGATGTGTCTTCTTCCCTTGTAGTTTCCTCCTTTTCTCATGAAGTTTTTGAACTTTTTGGTAACAGCGTCATATCCTCATTATCTTCATCTTCTCATGATGTTTTTTCAGAAGCATTGTAATTGTTAGCTTTTAAATGTCGTAATTTTCTTACTTTTGGAGTTGCTTTCCTAATTTAGGTGCTCTGCTTCGTATGACATTAGTATGCCTGTCAATTCATTTATGGTGATGGGGTTGAATTCTCATAATTTCTTGTACTGAGGTCTTTATGTAGCTCTATTCTTTTAGAGGTGCTCTCAGCAACTTGTTCACTTTTTCTCTGTCAGTGAAGATCTTTCCTTAGTTTGCCAAACCAATCACTATCTCAGTGAACCTTGTGAACATCTGTGTTACTCTTTCGTCAGATTTCATCTTGAACAGCTCGTAGCTTCCAAGGAGTTTGTTCATCTCCATCTCTTCCACTCTATCGATTCATTCGAATGTCACTAGAATTTGATCCCGAATTTCCTTAGCTATAACACGAGGAAATTTTGTTAAATTCAAATGGCGACAAAGCACAGTATAGAAGATGTTTAGTTTTAGTATTGTGTGCAGCTCTTCTTTGAGTTTCTTTAATACGAGCAGCAACAACAACAGCTTGAGCTTCTTCTCCTTCTTGTTGTCGAGCAGGAGCTTGAGCTAGTATTGCTAATCCATTTTCAATCACATCCCATATAATGGGGAGAAATACAATAGAAGAGAAATACAATAAAAGTGCCAAAAGTTGTGTACAACGCTCACTTTAATGTCAAAAGTTTCTTTCGGATAACTTAAGTGTCACTTTTTAAAAAAAACTATCACTTAAGTGTCAACTCCGATCTCAGTCGCTGGAAATCCGACGTGGCTATATTTCATTAATTTCTCAGTCATACATGGCTTGCCGATGGCCTAGTCAGCATATAATCCCTAAAAACGATGTTGTGTAGATGGTTTGCTCCAAAATAAGAACCCTAAATTGCAAAATTGACCCAAATTCTCAAATTGAAACCCTAATCACCATTCCACCGAGAATCGAAACCTTAATTCGAGTTTACCCCAAATTATCAGCTGAATCTTGCAAATGGAGAGCAGGAGCTTCACGAGCAGCTCAAATCCGTTCCAGCAAAGTGAAGAAGAAGTTGAACATTAATGTTTTTTTTTCTAAAATGCAGGAATGATGAAATAGGAAGGCTTCCAAGCTCAAACTCGAACTACTCGTCCATGGCGTTGTTACAAAACTTCCACATTGGAAACACTAATTTGAGTTTGGATGACTCCATCAAGCCATTAACACAGTGAGCGAGCCTTTAGTTACCAAATCTAGGCGAAGGAGACAATGAGTGTCACGCCCCGAACCCTACGGCACGCAACAAGCCTACCGAGGTCGATTCAAGTGCGTCGTCCCAGGACGCGTCACCGACCCAACACCCAACACAGAGATCACGACACATGCGGAAGCAACATAAACACCCGTACAATTTAAAACACGTGATCAAGGATAGCACAAACAACAAACAATATCATAAATATACACTTGCATTAACATCAGGGAAACATATACAATATCCAGTCACGCAAAATACATAATAAACCAAAAGCGGGTCAACAGCCACTACTGACAAAAAGGGGTAGGTGGCCCGGGCGGTCAGTCTAAACACTAACCTAAGGAAGGGCTCCAGTCAAAAAGGTATCGGCCCAACCTAACTAGGGTTACGGCTAAACCC